ACAGAAAAAACCCGTTTGCTAGCTATTATCATCAATACGATTCGAGATGCACGTGAACTACTCTTCCACCCTAGGTGTATAAAAAGGGAAGTATTGATACCCGCCCTATGGTAGAGGGGCTCGTTCTTAATTTACAACCAGCTGTTTATTTTTTGGGGTAGTTTACCCAGTGGGTTAAAGTTTTAGGTTTACCCACGATGGTAAAGTTTACCCACCTTGTTCACATCGCAATTATGCGATAATTCGAGAATTTATGTCCAACTTTTTTTACTCGTTTCCAATTTTTCAAGCTTTTGTTTCTCCTTGATCTCCATCGTAAAAGTTTACTTCTCATTTTCTACCTTCCCCTCCTCACTTTTGCTTTACAATGCGTTGAAACCCTGTTGTTTTCACTTACCTTACCGTCAGATTATCCGTCATTAGCCTTATTTTTCAACGTTTTTGTGCAAACGAACAATAACAACTTCGCGCGTGGTTATTTACATGTACCATTTCCATTAACAATTCGCTGTACAACAAATCCTTCACAGAATTTATTTTTCAGAAATTCTTCAGCCCTCAACATGGGTCTGAACAGTATTCAACCAATGGAAATAAGCCGTCCAGGTCTAAACGGCGTACAAACGGCAGAGCTAGGCCAACCAGGGGGTAAGTAGTCCATTTTTGTGTAAAATACTCTTCCTTATACATTTTGTAACGTAAGCCTGATACTACATTTTCTTCATTCTCGATTTTCAGCAGAAATCATCAAGAAACCCTACGTTCCGCCGCAGCCAGTGTCATGCGGTCAAAAAGTCAAGCGATGGTTCAAGAAGTACTTTCTAGAAGGTAAGCTAACGCTTTACCTGCCTTGGGTAAGTCGGTGCCTACCTTCAAATTTGCAGGTCAACATTTGGAAGAGGATGCTGAGGAAGAGCTACACAATCTGCCAGAAAATCCAACATGGCACGATTTGATTTTTATCAAGTACCGTAAATTTGTCGCGATGCTTATCCCCTTCGTTTTAATGCAGGTAAGAAAACCAGCGACGGTGGTAAGGGTGGTCAATCAATAATCGATTTTTCTAGTCGTTCTGGTGGATGAATGCAATTCGATGGAATTTCTTCCGATGGTATCCCGAATATTGGCACA